TGCGTGCGGCAACGGCACTGACCTGGAAGGGCATCTTCCATTCATGCTGCTGCTCCTTGGTCCTGAGGAGCACCGTCATTCTGCCCTTCTCATGGCGGCTGCACGCACCCACACATACGCCGAGAAGGTACAGACACTCATCCATTCACTGTCACTGACCGAAGGACTATCATGCCCGAGTCTCCGAGATTCGCGACACCCAACCTCCCACTCTGACACACAAACACACACACTCACATATACACAGAGATGAACCAATGAACGCATCATAAGCCTCTGCGTATGGTCACCGCCCTGTCCAGGTGCGCAGTGAGTGCGGTCGATGCGCCGATGGACCTCGTGCAGGAGTAGCCGTACTGGAGCAGTCTGCACAGACAACGATAATACTCACAAGACACACTCGCATTCACCAGGATAATCTTCCATACCTGCGGGCGACTTGCGCGGGGGCCAGCTGCGCTATCTCACTCAGATACGCCCCTGCAGCCTCCGCGTTGACCCCAGCACTAGCACCACCATCGTCAGCACCAGAAGAAGTGGGTGTGGCCGTGTCGGTGAGAGCGATGGTGGCGGCCTGCTGGCAGCCGCCCATCAGCTCGTCCGCAAACATCTTGGCGTTGAGGCCGAAAGCCGCGTAACTGCCGACCCCATCGGCAACACCCAGAGCACCACCACCTGCACACACACACTCATGGATGGATGCACCCCTTCGTCCACTTGTGCGTGTGAGCGTGCATACCAGCAGTCTCGCAGACGAAGAAGGCGTCTTCACCGCCCGTCTCGGCTTTCTCGGGGTCGGGGATCCTGCACACACACACGCACAGAGAGAGATAGATAGAGAGAGAGAGGGGGATGGATGGATGGATGGATGGCAGTGCGTGTGTGGTCTGGTGGAGTGCACGTACATGAAGGCTCCGGCGGTGAGACGCAAATTCGTCTTCAACTGGGCACCCAGAGACACAAAGGGGTTGTTCGTTCAGCAATAGATATGTATGTGTGTGTGTGTCACGACAGACCTGTACGGGCACATGGAGGTCGATGAGCACTTAGGGCGGGTGCAGGTGGCTTGTCACCGACTCGGGCCACTTGTGCTTCAGCGACCTGACCACAACACACACAGATCATGTGTACACACACCTACTAATGTGTGGCACCCACTGGGTCTTGGACGAGAGGCTGTCGATGCCGACGAGAGGGGGGGCCGTGAGCAGGTTGGCGAGCCTGTCTGTTCGCACACGCATGTGTGTGTGTGTGTGTGTCCCTTTTTTACCCGGCGTAGCCTCAGCGAAAACGACCACGAAATATAAAATGTAGGCAGCTTATCGGCACAGCACCTGCAGCACGAGGGAGGACTTCTGTCCGCCTGCCTGCTTGCCTGGCCACGATTGCGCATGTGCACGTACGTGTGGAAACCGAGTACACTACGTGTCCGCCGCTGTGCGTGTGTGTGTGGCTTAAAACAATGATGAGTATGTAGACACATCTACCATCTCGCCCCTCTCTCTTGTGTGTGTGTCTGCCTGCGGCCGTAGACGGCCTTCCCCGTCTTCCTTTCCTCCGGTACACACGTGGATGCGGTGCGTGTGCCCGCCCGCCCGCCCGCATGCCTCGCCATCACAACACCACCACCATACAGACAAAATTACCCCGCTTGAGCATATACCCTCCCTGCCTCCCTGCCTCCCTCCCACCGTCCCATCCATCCATCCATCCCGTTTGCCGCGTACATGCCGACGTCTCGGCACATGAGTCCATAGCTGTAGACGTCCATGAGCGCTCGTCGTCTGGGTCACGTCATCTATCATTCACCGAGTCACCCAGGCGGCGACGAAGGTAATGTCGTCTGGCTTGCCGCCTTGGTGGAGGCTCCTGTCGTCGGGCTGCTCCCTCTTGGCAGTCCTGGCGAAAGGGGTCCTGGCGAAGGGATTGGCGCTGCAGCAGCAGAGAGATAGCACACAAGCACACGGACGGACGGATGGACGGACGGATGGATAGGCTTGGCTTTGTGTGTGTACCTCCTGTGCTTGGCAGCCTCTGCGATGGCGATGGCGACCTGGCGTGCAGGCGTGGCTAGCGGCCCCCGGTTGACCAGCTGCAGACACACACGCAAAGACACGTACCGGTGTGCGTCTCCCCTTCCCCCCCCTCTCTCTCTGTGTGTGTCTGCGGGCGTGTGCCTACCATCGACTCGTAGGGTGACAGGGCGAGGTTGGCGATTTTCGCAGATGTCAGAGTCAAACAGGTTGTCCAAGACGCCTGCACACGGGTGCGCATCCAGTGCATGCGCGTGGCTGTGTGCGCGATGCATGTGTGTGGATTGTGTACCATGGGTGCCGATGATGAGGAGGTCGCCCTCGACGACGGTGGCCACGCTCGTCTGCGCCATGTCGGGGGTGTCCTTCACGCACAGACACAGAGAGAGAGAGAGAGAGGGAACGTGACTCGGTGTGTTTTATGTGTGTGGTGCACATGTGCAGTTGACATACACACATACCCCGGGAGACACGCCGTCTGTGGCCTCTCTGGCCTTCTTGCACACCCTGACGAGCACGAGCTCACTCTGCACGCATACAGGTCACACACGGCTGCATCTGTGTGTTCTTTCTTGTTCTCCCTCTCGAGCTGTTCGTATTGGGTCTCATCGGGCAGCCTAGAGAGCTGCACGCACACACACACATGTGTGTGGATGTCAGGTCAGTCACGCACTGCCTCACTTGGTACGGGCAGTTCCAGGAGTGCTGCTGCTCGGTGG